CCCCCCCCCCCCCAATCTCTTTAATTAATTTCTGTTTTAGTTTAAAGTCTTCCTTAATTATCATCTTAGACTATCATTTAAAGTTGGGTTACAATACACCTCACAAGTACAATCAATGGCAACAAACCAGAAAAGCAAAATAGTGAAGTGTAGAGTGTAAAAAGAGCAAAGTAATAGGAGGCTAACGAGGTAGCAAGCATGGGTTTTCTTAGCTTGGAGGAGCAGCATTCACATACATTGTTCATCATGTGTTGTAATTATACCTGTGTCACCGGCCAATTGGACATCATTGCATGTATAGGTAAAACGCATGCCAAACTTAAAATAAATTAGAATCATGATTTTTTGACGCAAAAATAAATATTCGAATCATGAACAGCCTTTAAAGCTTCTCTCTCTCTCTCACATTGAAACTGAGAGGCTCACTTAAGGCATGCACAAGATTCTTGCTTTGTGTTGATGGGATTTTCAGGGTTTTCAGGGCTTCACGTGTTTTAGCAATGCACCTTCCAAATCACAAGAGTTGCTCATATATGATTAAATATACCTTTCTTTTGGCTACTTGAAGATGTTTCAATGTGTCATTAATTTACATCTTCCCAAAGTTTAGTAGACGGTACATGCAACAAGAAAGGTTGGACATGGCAAACATTTTGTCTTTTTGATCCTTTTATTTCTTTGTGGTGTAGAAGGTTGGCCAAGACAATTGAGTAGTCCTCAAAAGAAGCCCATTGTCAAATATGGATGGATGGGTCCTTAACATGAGTGTGATTTTGATTTGATCAAGACACTCAAGTTTTAAGAAACTTCTTAATGACAAATTTTCTTCTTTGCCAAAAATCTTATCAGAAAAACAATCTTAAATCCTTTAAATAAAAAACTTTAAAAATTTGTTTTGAAAATATGTCAGGTATAAATTTTAAATGTGGAGAGTAACTTGATTAAATTTAATGTGTGAATAGAAGTCCGTTGCGATCCCAACTTTCAACCTATTCACCATCACCATCCAATATAAATCAATCTTGTATCCGTCACAAATCTCTAACATGTCAAAATCACTTCAACAAGCGAACATGAGACCATTGGTCTGCAAGTCAAAGCTCTTTTTTTACTGGATTAGACCCCGTTGGCACATTCTTGAGCTTTCTTATCTTCATTAATAGTACAAGTCCAATAGAAAAGCGTAGAGTTTTTCAGATATAGTTTTCGATTCATGTGTTGGTTTTTAAGAAATTTGTTGTTGCACTTCAGTTTTAGGCTCTTGCTGGTTCCATGTATGGTGTTAATATCTCCAGCTCCCATTAATCTGTGCCCTGCATCCTCGCTGAGGAAGTTATAGGTAGCAATCTAACTTGTGAGATTTGCTTCATTGAGCTGAATATGTGAAGTATGACCAAAAGAAGGCCTCCAAAAAGAATGAAAACCCATCAAAATTCTGCTATATATAATAGCTTTTATTTTGGACAAGTCATCCTTAGAAATCGATATGACATGTCAATAACAAAACGTACCGATATGTTATTGATACATTGTGTTGTACAATATTAATACAAAATCTTTCGTTTTACAAAAGACAAATGTCATGCACATAGAATTTTGTTATGTATATAACCACAAATTGTTTTGTTTAGGTGAAATTATATAGGAATCAATTTAGTGGAACACTTGTGTCAATGTATAAAACCATCTATACATTTAATTACAAGCTATATATATAGCTGGAATTTGACCCAGTGCAAGTATAAATTTATAATCTCATCTCATCGCGCCAGAAGAATCGTAGTGTACAAAAGTTGCAGAAAGGAATATTTTGTAATACAGATAGAAGCTGAAGCTTCCAAATTCTTTCACCAAATACCAAAAAGAAAAAGTAGAAGCTGAGGAAAATATAACTAAGAGAAATGCGAGCCTCTACTTTCTTTTATGTATAAGACCAAGAAGGGATGCATTTTCTCAACTTTCATAGCCGAGTGAAAACAACATGAATAAATATATCAATAATGCTATTTGGACTACATTTATCGAACACCTCTCTAATAGAAGTGGGCTCACCACCAGCGTATGTGAAATCCACTTATATTAAAGATGTGATCAATAATGTGGTCAGTAAATGTCGTCTGGAATAACAACACTCTAAATATATTTGACCCTAAAAACCTAAATAAATATTTATGATTTTGATTATATTCCTTTTCATGACGAATAGTGTGCATTATTTGATAAGATTATATTCATAAATTAACTTACCAAATAGTATTTTAGTAAAATACTCTTATCATATTCTCTGTCATTCAAATAAAAAAACCGAAAAATATTACACCCATCAAAAGGGGAGGAAGGACACTTCAATTCCAACCTCCGTCTTAGTAATTGATTGTTATCTCACAACTAGAATCGTAGTACTAAAATACTATTTGGTATAAGAGCATGAAGTATTTAGTAATTCAATAATGATATTTAGTTTTTGCTTTGTTCTGAGAAATTACGAGTTCATATTTTATGAACCTTAAACGTTGAATTCAAAAATATAAAACATAATATATTTTAATACAAGTGATATAAGAAGAGGGGAGGTGGAATCGAATTTAGGACCTCATACAGGTGTAACTGCTCTTAATTAGTCTTACAAAATATAAAACATAATTAACTTATAAAGAATTATTTTCTCTAATTTAATCTTATGAATATAGAGTGACAAGAGGAAGCCAAGCATCTCTCACATCACATGCACAAGTCCAACAACAAAACCCCATAAAATAAAGCCAATATGTGCATCATCAAGCAGCTAAAAGCACACCTACTTCTTATTCCTAGAAAACGACCAGAAAGCCATAGAATAGGGGAGAAGATAAGGTAGATTAATCACTAGAAAACCTAACATGATTAATATTTCATGAAATTTCCACCTTTTATAAAGCAAAGGCAAACCCAGCTCTATTGACCTGGCATTTATTTATTTATTTGATGTGTTGTCCCTTTAGCCAAACTACTGCCAAACAAAGATAATGAAATCAAATGTATCATCCATCTCATTTCCAGCTTCCAAGAACCACCACCACATAAAAAAAACCCACATTTTTTTTTATTGTTTTTGTGCATGTTTATCACCACCTTTTTAATAATTGAAACGATAAGAACGCATACAACACATCCCTAGTTTTGATATTATATTAGGGCATACCGAATAGTTTTAGCATATAAGTGATATTGATAGAGAGGGCAATCGAACACAAGATTCGAGTGTAAAGATAACTGCTCTTAACTGCTTGGAACTACAAATCTCTTGCGCTAGACTTCTATCATTAATTCTTTATTATTCTTTGTAGTGTTTTAATTTCATTGGGCTTCAAATTTTACATTGGTTACAAATGATGAACGATGGACAAAATTTACACTTGACTATGGGATATGACTCCGCATTTGAATTACGGTGGAAAGGTGGAATTAATCATAGCATGGGGACAAAAGTGTATAATTTAGCCAAACTTTTATTTACAAGCACTATCCTTTAACTAAAGTTAAAGTGCATCTTTCAAATGTCTCAATCAAGACCCCATTTTCAACCCTAATTAATTAACTCTACCTAATCTTGATAATTAATGGACAGAAGATTAATTATTGACTAATTAAATTAATTTGCAAGCAAAAACCCATGATGATGTGTGAAGCATCAATTAGAAGGTGATTGAGACCAATGAACACAACCCATATTTCATTAGCTTTCTCTGCCATCATCATCAACATGCATACACCACTTAGAAAAGTAACAAAAGAAAAAAAGGGAATAAAAGATAAGGATACACAGAAGAAATGAAAATAGCACAAACATAATTGGAAAAGCAAAGTAAGAAAAGTAACAAAGAAGAGAGGGGTACAAAATAACACCCTTTCCCAAAGCCATGCTTATCTACAATTCCATGGTCCTCCACCAATTCCTTCCTTTTGAGCCCTTGAGAGAGACAAGAGGAGATTGCTGAAAGGACCCCCCTCAGGACAGACTTGCATTCCTCCATGTTGTTCATTATTCTTTTTAGAAAAAGAGACCATCTCCACTTGAAAACCAGGGGTGAAAATATTTAACTAAGCATTGCTCCTGAAAGACCCTAGAGCCTTAATGGCTCCTGCTCTCAGAATGTATTGGTGGTACAAGGCAGCAATGGCAGCTCCAATAAATGGTCCAACCCAGAAGATCCACTGAAATATAAAACAAATTCAATTAATTAACATAACTATAACCATTGCATGCATGTTTAATCATTTAAATCCCAAAAGAAAGTTAATAACACAAATTCAATTTAATGTGAGAATGGAGAGAGAGAAAGCACATACTTGGTCATCCCAAGCTTTGTCCTTGTTGTAGATCACAGCAGCTCCAAAACTTCTAGCAGGGTTGATACCAGTTCCAGTGATTGGGATGGTGGCCAGGTGAACAATGAAAACAGCAAATCCAATGGGAAGTGGTGCCAAGACCTTAATTAAAGAAGAAGAAAAAAACATATAGTGTTAACAAAATTTCGTGGTGGTACGAAATCCGCAAGTTCAAATCTCATAAACAACAGTAAGTTGAACAACAAAACAAGTCAAATTGAGTTATTTGGAGCTAATTAAAAATAGATAAGCATGGTTAATTAGGTGATGAGCTTACAGGGACATGGGAGTCTCTGGCATTTCTCTTGGGGTCAGTGGCAGAGAAGACAGTGTAGACAAGAACAAAGGTACCAATGATTTCAGCTCCCAAGCCAGTGCCCTTGTTGTACCCAGCAGACAACTCGTTGGCTCCACCGCCATACTCCTCGTAGTATGTCTTTTGGAAGGCCTTCACCAACCCAACACCGCAGATTGCACCCAAAGACTGGGCTACGATGTACAAAACTGCCCTCGGCAGTGAAACCTTGCGAGCCAAGAATAGTCCAAAGGTCACAGCTGGGTTTATGTGTCCACCTGCAATTGTCGTATGAAAAAAAATAAACAAGACTCAAATTCTGTTTTCTTTCATTTTTCTCAACACCCAAACGGAAACTAGCTAGCTTCAAGTGTTTGGGAGTGCTTTTGAACAAACTACTTTTTATTTAGTAGGGCTTTTATTAAAAACACGTTCAAATTCAAATTCTTCTCAAACTTGGGTTTAATTTCAAGCACTTATATGCTTCTCCATGAATTACTTTCAAGTGCTTACTAATCAAGAAAGTGATTTCAAGTACTTTTGAAATGATTTTTCAAAAGCACTCTGTTTATTTCTGCCAAACGTTGTCAGAAAAAAGAAAAACGTACCAGAGATACCAGCGGTGCAGTAAACAAGGACAAAGATCATGCCACCAAAGGCCCAGGCGATGCCGAGAATGCCAACGCCGCCGCATTGGTCTCCATTGCTCTGGGACTTGTAGCCAATGACGGTCAAAACGGTGATGTAAAGGAAGAGAAGGGTGGCAATGAACTCAGCAATAAGAGCTCTGTAAAAAGACCATTTGGTCAGCTCCTCAGCATCAAACAAGGGGGTTGGAGGAGGGTCATGGTAGTCTTTGGCTGCAAACTCACCATGCTCAGCTCCCTCTACATCTTTAGCCATGGCTTCTTCTGTGACTAAAAATTAAATTAGCTATCTGCTTGTTGTGGCTTGTGAAGTATGTGCTTTTGGATTGGGGCTTGCTGTTGGGTTTGTGAGTGTGTAGGGGTATTTATGGGGGCACATTGAAAGTGTATATTTTTTTATGTTATTGTTTAAGTATGATGATTAACATGATTATGTTATTTTATGCCGCCCATAATCCATATTAGCTTGATTTCGCTTGCATGGGCCCCTCCTTGTCCTCCAACGGCTACTCAAAGTAAAGGGCTTTACTTTTAATTTCTCAACTTTGTTCATCATTTTAGATGATCACACCTCCATACTTTTGAGTTAAAGATCACTTAAACTCTAAGAAAGGAGAAAAACTTAATTACAATGGGATGTCGTGTAACGGTATCTCAAGTTAATCACGAACTATCATACATTTTAACTTTCTTACATAGCAGTGCGCGTGATTAACTTGAGATACCGTCACAATAATATCCCAGTAAATCAAATTTCATCACCAACTGAAAAGTCCGTTGTCAAGTCCAATATATAAAGTTGGAAATGTAGTTGGTACAATAATAAGTGTTAAACCGTTATCTAGACCCAAAAAGAAGCAGGCAACGGTCCAATGCATCACTCACATCTTGCTTTTTGGTTGCTTTGGTATATTGTCACTGCTTTTACATATAAAAGATATATGCTTCACTTCTTTCTATTCTACTTTCTAAGTTTCTACTACTTTCGTTTTCGTGCATTCAATTTTTTTCAAACACAAAAGATAAGAAGATAAGAATTAAAATGAAGAGAATGCAACCCTAAATTGTAAGAAGAGAACCTGATAGAGTTGGAGAAATTGATAATTCTCACCTACAAAATACTATAAACAAGAAGCCTATCATTGGGAATTCAATAATCTAAGGAATAAGACCATTATCCCTAAAGTCTTAATTATATAATTTAATCAAGAATATTATATTCCAACATGTATTGGCTGATGATGGTTTGCCAGAAGAACTTATCTGGATCCTACCTAAAATCAAATGGTGAGGTTTGATACTTATGGTGGTTGTGGACCATTCGTCATCTCAATTATGAGACTCCTGGTTTTTCTTTACTATTAATAATTATAATAACCAAAAGGCCAACCAAAAAAAAAAAAAAAAGAACTGTAATGGTTTCAATGTTTTACTTTTTCTATTTTATGAAAGTCTAATATGATAATGCATATAGGAAACTATGAATGATATGGCCATTGCCAAGCTGTTTTTTCTTTTCTAACACATCAATATTTTAAACTATGGAATTGAACTCGGCTGCAATCGTGTAAGGGCAAGTACACGCTGTATTGATCAACTAGTCTAACCTATATTTGCATATTTCCAACCTGTTCACAAACTTGTTTTAGAACTCAAGGCATGTTTACTTATCATGAATGGGGAAAGTCTTGAATCAGGCCTCCTAATTGATCATATTTTCAATTTTGAGGGTATTCAATTACATATTTTAAGGTGGAATCCACATAGATGAGGAAAGTAATTCAAGTAATTCTTTAAATTATGATGGAGATATGTTTTGTTTTTTTATTTTTGGTAATAATGGTATTAAGCAGATTTCCAAGTACCTAGTTTTTGGCTGTGTCTGGCTTACATCATAAACAAACAAATTTTATTAGGAAGAAACAAAAAGATTATAATAAAACAAACAAATTCTCTTGGAAAGAAACAAAAAGATAATAATAAAACAGTTTAAGGATCAGAAAAGTGTACAAAATACACAGTTATAAATATTTCTGGTGAAATGTTGATGCCATGAATTGACAACCATCGCCGCCCCACTCTTATATCTCCTCCATTTCTTTCTTCTTCTTTTTCAATTTAACATTCCCCAATTCCAATCCCCGCAGTCCACATTTTGTTTCAACTTTTCAATATTTACTTAGAACTTTGTGTGGTTTTCTTTGAATTTTATGGTTATGGCTAAGAATGCACCACGTGTCCAAAACTTGAAGGTTGTATGATGAAATCAAAATAAAATTTTGTTTTTGTTTCTGGATTTTGTGTGGCTGAGAGTGACTTCTCATTGGTCGGTGCCTCTTTCAATTTTTTTAAACCCATAATCACCCATATAATGTAAGTTATTACTAATGGTTGATGGCGACCCATCAAAATTAGTTCCAAAATTAGGCTGACCACAGTAGAATTGAGAGACCTCAAGATTAGTCCCAAAAATAATAATATCAGCCCGCAAAAATACTATCAAATCCTTTCTATTGGCTTTCCTTTTTTTTCTTTTTTCTTTTATACAAGCGATATTGAAGGAAGGGGAATCGAATCTATGATCTCGGGTGCAAAGCTAAATGTTCTTAACCACTTGAGCTACAATATAAAGAATAAAAATCACTTCCAACATAAAAGGAAAGCCAAATTGCATTTATGTACACTGATTTACATATATTCACAAATGTACATAACAAGATAATATATCAATTATCAAAGAGCCGCACACAACACAAATTGTGAGCCCTCTCTCTCTCTGATAATTGCCATCTCCCATTCAACCAAGCACACTAATCATCGTCATCACTATACTCTTCTGCTAGCTCTTCCAAAATTGTCTCCAATTTCGGAGAGCTAGAACCCTTCCATGGGAAATCAAGAAGGGATGGTGCAACCTCAACCCAAGGCTTGCTCATATCCTTTGCCATTGCGAGCTTCTGACTCAAAATCAAAGCTTAAGCGTAGCACGATGTCGATTTTTTGTAGGTTTTGTGATGTGGAGAAGATTTTAGGTAATTGGATGTCTCTCTTTCTCCCTTGGCTTTTAGATTGAGAAAGAGAGCTGAGGAGGAGGGATAGGAAAGGACAAATTCTCTCTAAGTATTTGAGAAATGGGTTGAATTGTTAGGGGTAATGGGGTTTGACGGTTTATATAGGTTTGTGTTTGGTAAATGGCCATGCTTAAAAAAGCAAAAGGCCCAACATAGGTCAAAGCTAACTTAGCCAAATTAGAAACTGAATTCTAATAAAGTGTCTAGAACCCATTTTGTCTCCTATTGTGGAGGAAATGACCAAAAGAAATAGGTCATATTTAAGTGTTCAACGTGCATTTACCATTTTGTTACTATTGATTTCTGCAAGGCTACACGAGTCTATGTTTTAGTTTTACCACATGTAAGTGTTCCACGGTCACTTTTGCAACGTTGCTGTTTTACATCCCTACTTTCTAGCAAAACCTGCAATTTGCTACAACTGCATAAACAACATTGTACTTAGACCACCACACATCTCCTTTTAAGGAGTTCATAGACACCTAAAACTGCATAAAAATTGGTAAATCCTAATAAAGAAACTTATTCAGAAACAGGGAGCCATTGTCGCCTAGAATCCGGGCCGCAGTCTTACAAAGAGCTATGAACAATCTTTAACAAGCTAAAGAAAAATAAAAATACCATCAAAACAAAATACAGGGGATTTCAACTTCAATTGTTAGAAGATCTCAGACCAAACAGAAACTGTAAGAAAGAAATCATGCACATTCTGCACTAGATTGACCAAACAGAACGGTATATGAAAATACTACCATAAGGTTTTATATTTAACATTCATCCACACACAAAAAAGAGTCACCTCAATGCTAGAAACATTGCCAGAGCCGAAAAGGAGCAACATCAAACAAAGGAGTCAAAAAATTTGGTCTTTCAGCTCAACCCAATTATCCAATCCACAACAAAGAGTCAAACATGCTACAACAAAAACACTAAGCCATCCATTTACGGATTCACATGTCCAGAGTGGGACAGTCGAAAATAAATTTGAACTTATCAAGGATGGTCAAAATTCAAGTCCAAATGGCCATTTGGCTACACTTAATTTATCATTATCTATCAAGTTGCAATGATAAGCTAAATGCAGACAAACTCCATTTAACTCATCATAAACAAAAATTGAGAGGGGAATGCAACTACTAGACGGATTATAGTTACAAAATACATTCCAAGAGGCTAGCTTAATACTTATAGAACAGCAAACACAATAAGAAAAGAAACATCCAATGCTAACTTTAGGAAAGTACCTTGCCATGTTCAATGAAACACAATGATTTTAGAAGACAACTTCCATGCAAGATTCAGAAGGGGGAATCACAAGATACACACTGAACAAATGATTCCCTGATGTGCACCAGTTCTAGATAAACCTATGGGTGCAGAAAATGGGATAATTGAAAACAAACAGCCGGGGCACAAAAAAATTTATGGTTTAAACAAAACATGTGATAGAAGACTATACAATGTAAAGATAACTGTATTAAAACTCTATGTTGCTTGCGTAACGTACCTAATATAACTAATATAGTCCGGCCACTTTGGAGCAACTTGAATAACATATTAAAAAACATAAGCTGGTACAGAAAATTCCCATTTTCTTAGCTCAACTCTCAACTCCCAACTTCAATTTCATTGCACATGCGTCATATATTCTCTAGTCCCTCTAGTATGAACAATTAAAACTATTTAGCATAACCTATATCTATCAGCTTCTACTTTTGCATCAGCCAATCCACAAATCATGTTCTAATTCCAAATGATACCCAAATATAACTAATACATTCACATAACCCTTTACCAAAGCTAGCACATTTTGCATTCAACAGATGACCATTCATACTAAAATCGACACACAAAGCAAACAATAGCAACAATCAAATGAACACAACTAAGAAAATTTTTAAAATCACTTATATTCTTTAATACTAATAACACCACCATAAGCATCCACAACATGTAAAAAACTGGGTTACAAAAACCCTCCAACTCATCTAAATTGCCATAAAAAGAGTGATTAACGATCTTAATAACGTACTCCAAATTAATCCACAAATTATCCAAAACGACATACCCTTCAACAAAAATTTAATTCAGCAAAAGAAAAAGAAAGAGCCTCACATCAACAGCTCAGTCGAGAGGGATCTCAACATCACCATCGGCAATCTCCTGTTGCAAATCCTTAGGGTCCTTGCCGTCGACCGTGCACCCGACTGATACGCAGGTGCCGAGAATCTCCTTCACCGTGCCGGCGAGCTCCTTGGCCATGGACCTGTGCTTCATGATCTTGGCGATCTCGATGACGTCGTCTAGAGAGATGTTTCCACTGTGCTTAATGTTCTTAGTCTTCTTGCGGTCGCGCT